CCATTAATGTCATTCCTAACTAGAAGACTAGAAATTAAGTTAGGTTGTAACTATGATAGAGACAACTTAGTTAAGTAGGAACTAAGTAGGTTGTAACTACTAACTAGGAACTAACTACTAACTACTAAGTCGGTTTGGTTCGGGTCAGTTTTGGTTTTTATGTGTGAAAACCTAAACCACCGACCCGAACCATCGGTTTATGATTTTTTACAACCTGAAACCGACCGATGCTGAAGAAAACCCAGCCGACTCGGGTTGGGTCGGTCCGGGTTGGTCGGGTTGGTCTTCTTATGAACAACCCTAGTCCAATTCAATGTCTGGACCATCCAATCTATTCAAATTTATTTTGATTTAGATTGGTTTCAATCCAAATCTGGTCCATTGACACCTATATTCATAACTTATAGGGTAAATTACAAAGATCCCCCGTGCTATGGGGTCTGTGACAAAGACCCCTCTGTTCTTTGTTTTGCGACAAAGACCCCCCTTGTACTATGACCATGAGACAAAGACCCCCTTTGTTAGCTTCTGTTAAAATTTGTGTTACAATATTTTTTAATCCCCATACTACCCTTGTAAGAAAATACTGTTCATCTTCCCCAACCTAGGATAGAGGAATAGTAGTGGCGGTATTCCTTCACACCTCTCTCTCTCTCTCTCTTTCTCTCTCCCTTTCTCTCTCCCTCTCTCTCCGGATCTCTCTTCTTCCCCTTCCCCTTTCTCTCCTCCCCTTTCCTCAGATTCTCTTTGGCCTTCTTTCTCCACCGCCTGTGCTAAGCTGAGAAAAGTCAGAAAAAGAAGAGAAGAAAAGGATTTGCAACTTAAACCTCTCAACCATTGGCAACTCAGCATTCACGAACTGATCAGCCTCTCTTGGCCAGGTTAGCAACAGCACCCTAGCCGTAATCCCTTCCATCACCGAGTTCCACCCGTAGTGAGTCAGGAACCCGCCCGTGGCTCCATGGTTCAGTATTGGGACTTGTAGGGCCTATCCCCTTATGATCAAACCTCTCCCCGCCACCCAGTCTTCTATCTCTTTAATGATAACCTCGCGATCATCCGCTTCCTGTCTCGACATCGTCATCATAACGGTCCAAATAAATCTGACCCCACTTCGTTCCAACCCGGCTCCTAAGGCCTCAGCTGCCGTTTCGGCAGTAGCACCTGACTACCAAAACAAACGTAAAGCACAAACTTGTTCGGGCAACGATCGAGCTACTTCAGCACATCAACAGGTGACACCGAACTGGGCTCACCTTGTTCATCAGATCTAGCACCAGCATCAACAGCCTCCATCATTGCCTGAGGGCCCACACCACTCTTTGCTTCATCTTCTTCTTCTTCTCGTTGAAGATTCCAAATTCGCTCGATGGCAGGTTCTGCGACCTCCAAATTGAAGAAAATTCAGATATAGAGAGACGATATTACATTTGATGCTTATGCGGTGGACAAAGAAGGTGCTCCTGGCATAGTGGTGTTGCAAGAGTGGTGGGGGGTTGATTATGAGGTCAAGAACCATGGTTTGAAAATTTCCCACATGAATCCTAGTTTTAAAGCACTCATCCCAGATATGTATCGTGAAGAGGTTGGTCTAGATGTTGCTGAAGCACAACATTTAATGGATGGTCTTGATTGGCAAGGTGCTGCTAAGGAAATTTGTGCTTCAATTAGTTGGCTCAAGGCAAATGGTTCACATATGGTAGGTGTGATAGGATTTTGCATGGGCGGTGCTCTCTCAATTGCAAGTTCTATTTTGATTCCTGAGGTTGATGCTGTCGTTGCTTTCTACGGAGTTCCTTTCTAAGGGGAAGGGGAAGAGAGAGAAAATGTGAAGGAATTCAGCCCTGCTGTTCCTGTATAGTGAGGTCAGGGAAGATGAACAGTGTTTTTCTTAAAGGGTAGTATAGGAATTAAAAAATATTGTAACCGTGGATTTCAATGGAAAGTTAACGGAAGGGGATCTTTGTCTCACGGTCATAGTACAAGGGGGTCTTTGTCGCAAAACAAAGTAGAGGGGGGGGGGTCTTTGTCACAGACCCCATAGTATAGAGGTCTTTGTAATTTACCCTATCTTATATTAATGGACCAGATATTGGCTTAATCCAACCCAATTCAATATAAATTTATTATGGATGGATCGGGTCCAATCCAATCTAATAAATATTTTGAACCTAATTGGTCTAATCCAATATGTCTTGTTGGTCTGTCCAATCCGTCCAAATTGATTTTAGATTGGACGGGGTCCAATCCAAAACTGGTCCATTGACACCCTTACTTTTATTGGCCCAATTTAATCGAGATACTATGTGTAGGAATGTTTGTGAAGTCTGGTTAAGTAGTAAACCTGTACTCATGACCCATTGATCCAACCTCCCTATTTGGTTAGGGTTGAGATGGGTTCAAGCTGAAGTACCCAACCGGTAGACATTACAGCACTGAAATGCATATGCTACATGCTTGTTTGAGTACAAGTGTATTATAGGCGGTTAAGCTCGTTTTTGTTATACTCTTTCATTTAACCAAGTTGGATAAGGTCCAGTTTGGGTTTACTTCGGGTCAAATTCAGCTTGAAATCCTTTTCATCTCAAACCTTTTAATTTTTTAATTCTTTAGTAACCTCCTACTTTGAAGCCTAGGGCTAAGGTCCAAGTTTATATTAGCATGTGACAAGTTTCATAGATTTTGGGTAATTTTGTTTTTAATTAAAAGTAAGTAGAAGGGCATGTGTTATGCACATGTATTCTAATGTAAAAATATATAATAATAAAAATGGGTTCGACTATGATATGGAAAAGATATGATATTGGAAAAATAATTGATCAATAAATTAGAATAAAAAACGTGGTAGTAAATCAGGTGTCATTTATGAAAATTCATGGGTGGGCTTTGATTGGTCAAAATTCTTTCCATATCATATCTTTCTCATATCATAGATTTTCCCAATAAAAATTATTAATATGAAAGATAATTTATTATTATAAAACCAAGAAAAAAGTCATATTATGAAAAATTATTATTATCTTTTTAACAATCCTGATTACATGATATTTTTTTTGGCTCCACGGGGTACAAAAAAGAGAAGGGGATAATCCATCTCCGACCCTTCAGTAGTCCACCTTATAAATGGGCTCCACTCATATTTCGCCATGTCATCTAGGAGCGCAATAGCAACAACCTTCAACCGGAAAGGGTAACTAGTGACCAGTCATCACTCATCATACCCCATGATCGACAACAACCTTCAACTCCAATTTGGCCACCTACCTCTCCTCCCCCTTCCTCTCTATCTTCCACCTTTAATGGCAGTTAAGTCCTGATCCCATCTTTAAGATGATGTGGCGAGCAACAATTGGAGGGTCCATAAAATGTGATCATTCATCCTCTAAACCCTTAATCCCTCAACTCTGATATAGACGGAATTTGATCCCAAGTCTCTACTACTACCAGCTGAAAACCTTAGCAAATGGCACCTTGCGGAAGCATAAACCCATCTCAGAACAAGGGCAGTCAGCAGTGCCAATTATCCTAGTGGGCTTCATGTGTCTCCAACCCAACTTCCCTATAATAAAAACATGGGATGACACCATCCTCACATAGTCATAAGATTAGAGAAAAAAAAGGAAATAAAACTACTTCTTAGAGAAAGTACATGTCATCTCTATTTGGTTGGGCAGAAAAACCAAATTTTAGAAACTGATTTCCACGGAAAATGACATTTATTTGGAACGTAGAAAACAAAGTTCTTGTGGGATACCCATTTCCTAACTTACCCATCTTTACTGGGAAAAAGTGAATAAAATAGTTTTCTCCTGCTACCTTGTCTTTAGATCAACCAGCATTTCTGTGAGTGGTCATGCAAACAATAGAGATTGCTTCGTGTGTTCAACCAAACAACAAGAAATCAACACCCTAGAAGCATATTTCTAGAATTTCATTTCCTTGTTTTCACCAACCAACCAGAACAGTCAGAAGAAAGTGAGTGCCAGCCAACAAGAATTTGCCCCATGTCTGGCCCATTCTTCCATTTTGTTGGGTGAATCAATGTCTTTGAATAAATGGGCTTGGATTTGTATTAATCTTCAGGTCCATGGTGTGGTGGGCTGAACACGGGTCTTGAATTCAAGTCTAAAGTCTCGAGTCTCAACCATGCATTTTGTCAACTGTTACTTTGGAAATATTCCAAAAATTTCAAGATATTTCATTTTTTTTTGGTTGAAATCATTTTAACAGCTAGGCCCATTGGGCCTTCTCCAAAGTGACGCGTGAAGAAATCGATATTTACCAAATTGGCTCAAAGACTGTCCAAAGTCCACTTGGTGTAAGAATGGGTTGAACTTGAACATTTCAACAGCACACAATACGAAGCAAACGGCTTAATTAAAAATAAAAAAAACGGAAAAACAAAAGAACGAGACTACATGGTAGCACAATAGCCGTTGCTGTCCCGGTCTAGCTCAAGCAGTCGAGCTCTCACCCAATACCCAAACTCTCCACCGATGCTCAACCAGGAACCTTGCCACGTGTACAATTACGAACCCAAATGTCACGTGCACAGTGCGTGTCATCTACAACCACAATTCCAAATCTACCCTCGTCTTTTTCAAAATTGGAAAAAAAAAGACACCCATCCTAAATTTCCAACCCACGTACAACAAATAGAAAAAGAGAGCAAAAAGACAAGGCCGCCGGTGACTCATCTTTAAACGATTCTAATCTGAAGACGCAAGTTGTATTGAATTACCAAATTGTCCTCAATCGACAAGGCCGTCCAGCGAGCCAAGGGCATGAGAGAAGCAAGAAATTGAGTGCATGTGCTCGTCGCCGTAATAAATTGATATATAATTCCGGCAAGACCGCTCGAGCTCGCTCTCTCGCTCGCGAACTCCCCCCCTCTCTCTCTCTCTCTCCATCTTCTCTCTTTCTCTCTATCTCTCTCTCCCCTCATCTGCTTCTCTTCCTCTCTCTCTCTGCATCCTTTCCTCCTGCGAAAGGGAAGCCATGAACACGAGGTAGAGAGTTGCGAAAGCTCGGAAGAAGGAGAGGAGACTTCGCCTTTCTATTTTCGTGTTCTTTCTACGGGAGGACGCAATGCCTGCCCAAAAGCGTTCTTCGGAGAATCTGGAGGAGGAAACCCAACAGCGGCATCACTATCAACAGCAGAACCACCACCATAACCAGCCACAGAAGGAAGAACCGGTGGACGAAGATGAGGATGGAGGAGAGGGTACGTATTCCATCTCATCTCATGTAAAAACAATCAACTTTCGATTGTTTTTGGTTTCCACGCAGGAATTAAAGCTTGTTTTTCCGGTTGCTATTTTCGTTCATATTGTTTGGTATCTTGTCTATTTCTCAGATTCCGATGGAAGTCCTTCATCTAGTGGCGGGGACAAAGACGAGTACGTTCTCTCATTTCCTTCCCCTTGTATTCTCTTTTGTGTCCATTGTTTTTGTTCTTGTGTTGTATGGGTGGAGGGTGCGTATGGAGATCTCGATGTGCTACTGTTTTGCTTATCGTCTTTGGATTTTCGTACCAACTTTCTTTTTCATAGCTCCTTTGACTTGAGTTTTCCGTATCTCCTCTGTTGCGGGAAGATGTTAGCTTGTGATGAATGTGGGTGGTATCTTCGTCTGGATTTGGATCTTGTCGACGGTGGTTCTCGTTTTGACGTCTTGACTCTGTTTGTTTTGATTGCATGCTTTGATCTATCTATATTTGGTTGTTCGAATGCTTCCAATTCGGAACTTTCTTTTTGTTTTCACAGCCCAGTCTTTAAGGTTTCTTCCCTTTCTTCAACCCTGTAGTTACGATACTGGTTGTCAACCAATTGAGCTACATGCTCGAGCGAACTCATGTCATGGGTAGTTATGCATCAAACTGAGCACGGAGGAGTAGCCCATTTGAAGTACGTTGTCTTCAGTAATTCTGTTAAGGACGGTTGCAGTGATTTATGGCACGAAGAGCTTCATATAAACCCATCGTTGTTCTGGCTGAATTGTTCAGGAAATTGGTGAATGTGTTTGCGCGGATCTTTCATGGACTGAGTTACAGTCTTATGCGACAATTATGGGAATTCCTTACTATTTTCATTTCCCCCTTTTAATTAAAGCACAATATTGCTTTTCATACGGGGAGCTTGTCTTTATACATATATCTGTGGATATATTATTTTTTTCTCTTTTTTATTGAAAGAGAATGTAGAGAAATTCGATAAAAGGGGAATCATCTAACTGCTCAACTTGTTCTTGGCTTTTCAACTTAAATTACTGAAACAAGATTTACTGCTTGGTCACTTCTTGTTTTGTTCAGTGATATACTCACTGTTGTTTTAAATGTATCAATATTTGATGCAATATGAACCGGAATGTGTATCTTTTTTTTCACACTATGCATCTCTAACACAATTATCTGAAACAATGCTTGCTTTAAACCATTGTTCTCTTCAACTGGCTTCAGTACATGGTCTTTTTCTGTGATCAAATGTTTCAGTTGTGTTCTCTTTCGGCTTGTTTGCGTCAGTTGTATGTTTGTCGGTTAATACTACGAGAGGATCATACTGCTCTGAGAACTGTGTGTGCTGCCTTTGGAAATCACTTCATGTTTCCAGATGGTAGTCCAGGTCCATATAACATATCTCTGCATGTGTCATCATTGGTAACCGTAAAGCCATGCACAGGGAAATGGTGTCAAGTGTCTTTTCAAAACATTCTATACATGTTTTTGTCTATGCTGAGTGGTGGTCTTTACCATTTATTTACATTTATAGTTTACATTAGTTTCACTTTTATGTGTAAAGACGTGTGTTATAATAATTGTCTTTCTAGAATGTATAAAAATGAATAAAAGGTAGATTATTTGCTTTATGTATGTTCAAAAGATATGGCTATTTCAAAATCTATTTTTGTAAAATATCGTTCAATTCAACTTCATTACTCTTCATCATGCAAGCCTTCAAGCCTTACCCCAACATTTTTGGGGCCAGATGCATTAAATACTCTCCACCATTTCACTTTGTTAATGTGGTGAATCTAGCAGTCTTTTCTTACTTCCTCATTCTGATCTTTTCTTTTGGCTTTTTCCAGAGTCCTTTAGCACTTGCTTCTTGTTGTCCTTGTTTTATTTTGTTACCCTTGACCAAGTAATTGAATTTAACTTATATTCTCTCACCTATTGATGCTTCATGGAATCATATGCTACTAGTATGTATTCATGCATGATCTGTATTTCTGTATGAATGTATACAAATTTACAATCAATTTAGGGGATTTTGAGATAGGATTTGTATAAGGAAATCTCTTTTCTGATGTAAAGGCATTCCTTAGATGCTTAGCTTGTTGTCTGGTGGGGGCCATTTACATATCTTCTTTCTCTCCACTTCCATTGAGCTTTCTTCTATCAATGAGATTAAAGTTATGGTTAGCACAAGTATAAGAAAAGATTGCTAAAATTTTCGTTGGTTTTCTTCTATTCAATTAAACAACCGATGATCATATTTTATTACGTGTTTATCCTAATTGATGTTTGTGTCTTGCTGCTTGTTTGCAGATATGTTTTAGTGAAATTGTCAGACATACGCAAAGAAGTACAATGTCCGATATGCCTAGGTATGGTTATTTGGGTAGTTTCTTGATAAAATTTGGTGCCAACAAATGCACTGGTAAACATAGAAGTGCTCAATTTATGTTTCACTAAGAATAATGGTAATCACTTTCATTCTATATGATGACATGCTTAGATATTTCACAAATATAAATGGGAAACATTGCATCGTACACATTGGAAGAGGAAGATACACCATAACTTATCAATGTGTACTAACTCTACTTCACTCTTTGAAGATGAGTTTTTTCCCCTTTTTTTGATATGGTTTTTTTGTACATTATTTGGTAGCCTCTGATACCAGTTACCTGTTCATGGTATTGTTCATCTGCTTAAGCACTTCTTCTTTGGTAATTACGGTGTCAACTCTTTTTTTTTTTTACAGTAAGATCATTTGAAACTCACATGGATTTTGACTGTATAACCTACAATTCTACATTAGAACCTCTAAACCAGTTATTTTTTAATAAGTTATGAGCAATGAAAACCCAGTTAGTCTCTGCACCTGTTCTTCGCTTACAGAATTATATTTTGGAATTTGGTCAAGCAATACTTTTATTCATTGCTCTCTTCTACAAGATTAGTTTATTCCTGGTAATGTGTACTTGATTCTTGTGTCTTGGAGAATTTAGGGATCAGCTCCTTTTCATAAAATCCTATCATTGTGCTCTTTTTCAGATCCACAAGATAGAAAATAGTTGCAGGTTTGCTTATTTGGCTTAAACCATTTCTGTTTACCATGATAACTTGATACAACTACGATGACTTGATACCCAATGATAAAAAATTTGATTACTTGATACCTGTATCATATTTATCTGTTGTTGGTCATGACATGTTTTTGCCTTTATGGTACTACACCAGCTACTACATGGACAAGCCTAGGGATATGTATCTGGTATTACACCACCTACTAAGCTACTACATGGACAATAGAGTTTACCACTTGTACACTAGAAGCCTGAAAAGGTATAATCAAGTATTCAAGTGTGACGTTAAGTCAAATAACTGGTGTACAATGGCTCTTTAACCTACATATTATGGAAAAAAATTCAGTATTGTTTCTGAAAAATTTTAAATAACCAAACGCTCTAATGTTATTCATTCTTGCCCAGAATGAGCAAGAATTTAAAAAATGAGGTCTAGAGCAGCAAACCAAACATGGCCTTAGTGAATTCTGGTTGTGGCCAAGTCTTTCTCTCTCTTAATTCTTCCTCTAAGTAACCTCTCTCTTTGCTACCTTTGCACTTGCTTGTACACCTCTATTCTTCATCATTAATCACCTAAGTTCTCTTCCTTCACCTTACAACACTCGCCACCAAATATTAAAGTTGTAAGACCCCCTAATGAAATCAGGGGCATCTCCCCCTATACGTCAGGACTCAGGATACGTGTATGGCTTTTATCCCTATACAGCATAAAAAATTAACCCCTACTTGAGAATAAAAATTTCATGCTTTTTCAATCATTTTAGAAAAGCTTAATCTATCAAAATCAGCTAAAGCAGAAGACCGAGGAATTTTTAGGTGTTTCATCTTTCTGTCACTTGTTGAACCTTTGATTCTCTTCCCATTGAAATTATCCTATTTCTCTCTCAATAACACCCACATATTGCAAATAGTCTTAAATTCATAAGGTGCATCCTTGTTTTCTGAATCACCTAACTGGAATCTAGCCAAGACTATCAATCCAACTAAATCACCTAACTGGAATCTAGCCAAGACTATCAATCCAACTAAATCACCTGGGTACATACATTGCCTTCCAAATAATTTGATAAAGTGCCTCCATATTTGGGTTGAGGAACTACAATGGATTAATATATGTGGAACTGATTCTTAGAATGCTTCATAGGGCATATGAATATTTCTAATATCATGACCCCTTGAAACTAGATCATCAATTGTCAAAGCTTTATACAGATAAGCTATCGTATGAAGATGCAAACCTTTCATGTAATGTGGAGAAAGCAAATCTAGTGCCATGAGGATCTTTATTTTTCCCCTTCTAGCAATGCTGCATAAAATGATTTGACTAGAAACAGGTCATTGGGATAAAGGGCCACTACTCTATATTGGTCCTAGCTATCTGGGTTCTTGTGGGGTGGCCACTTTCAATCTCAAACCCTTATTCTCACGCTTGTCAACCAGAGATTTTACCATACACCAAACGATGGCCCCTAAAACATGTCATTAGAATCTGGACCCCCATATTTCTTCTATCTTCCCAATCAATAGTTTGTTGAAAATCATCTAAAAATGCAATCAGGAAATCAGCCTCCCAGTTGGTGATTGGCAACAAGGCTCCCTTGATAGCCTGAACACCATGAGTTGTGAAAATGTTCCTGTCTAAGTGACCAGACACCCACTTAAGTGATGAGGCTCTAACCTAGGCAAGAAAAATCACAAGGTGAGCTCTTTATTATAATATCATTACCATATCTGAATCTTATTAGAATGCGTGTTGATTCATCCTATCATATATTTATATATAGTAAATATGCTTTGCTTTAAAATTTTACTATTGAAACATGAAAGATCCAAGAGTTCTAAAAAGGGAAAAAGAAAGAAAGATGATAAGGGTAAAAAAGTGTTTCTTCTTTTCTAATACAATTACTCTCTTATACTAAATAGAATAGGGTTTTTGCTCCTTTTTCCATTTTTGTTATTCTCTCTTAAATTTTTTTATTACTGCAAAATTATAGCCCTCTTTAGTCACTATTATTTTTTCAACATGCAATTGTTGCATTAAATATTTTATTTTTTCCTTGTAAAATTCTATCACCCAGGAAATGTCCAAGTACCCATCTAGGCAGCTAGGTGTTCCACTATAAGATTGACCCATACATCTTGATAACTATGCTCCCAACCATTAACCAGGGGCTCCAAATGACATGATTTCCAATGATCTCATAGCACTCCTGCTTAGAAGCATTGTTATTCACTACTATTTCTTATAATGAAGGGAATGATTCCCACAAAACATGGCTATCACACCACTTATCCCCCGAAAAGGTAACATGACTTCCATTGTCAACCTCAAAAGATATGTCTTCTGAGGATCTATGGATTGATTAGTAATTCCATGCCAAACACTTTAGCCATATGGTTCCAAGGAAGTGTTTGATTCCCATCCATGTTCTTGGCTTCATGTTTGCCTGCTATCACTTACAGAAGGCAAACTCCAAGCCTTAGATTGCTGTCTTCTCTTCTCTTCAAATTGTACAGACCAAGGATTACTTCTGTCACAGTTGGATATCTAGAAACATATACTTGATGTCTGATCAGATAAAAGACCCTTATAACATAGCTTTGATACTCTGTAAGCTGTTTTGGAAGAGAAAGTAGAAAGAGAGAGGCTCATGATTGGAAAGGGCTATCGTCAAGTCAACCAGCCCAAGAGAAAAGAGATTCTTTATATTAAAAGATGGGGAAACTATAGTATTACCCTTCTGGTTACAGCACATACAAAGAGTCAAAATAAAGTGATAAAACACATCTGGATATACAGAAATAATGTACAACACTACAAAACTCTAAGTTCTCCAATTTTGTACAGATTCATGCATGCATATATTGGTTTACTTTATCTAATTTATCTATTATGCTCTTAGTAAAAAGGCCATTACTTAGTTTAGGTCCCAGCTATCCAGTGTCTTGGGAAGGGTGGACTAGATGCAGACTTGATCTCTAGCATTAGCACGAATTGACAGCTATTTGACTTGAACCTGTGTTTTAACACTTGTCAACCTGAGACTTCTACTGTCACACCAAGCAACAACCCTTGATTGTGCACTTTCTTAATGACTTATTTAAAAATGGAAATAAATTGGGGTAAAAGGGGATAATCTAATATCTGGGGTTTATGAAGTTGAGAAATAGAATGGCTATTTTCTCAGGCTCCATTGGCAGCTTTGGTAACTCCATAAGAGCACAACTGTTAGCAATTCAACAAGGGCTGAGGCTGGCCCATAGTCTAAATTACTGGAATTTACTAGTGGACGGAGATGCTTATGTTTTTATTGGCCGGATGGAAAAGTATTGGGATCCTGGCAGTTTAGGAATGAGTTCTGAGAAATAAAGAAATTGGAGAGAAAGTTGGGAATTACTTACATGTGGACTCCATGATAAACTGTTTAGCTGATGCTCTTGTGAGACAAGGAGTGGGTAGGGAAAATATTTTGGGGGGTGATCCCTCAAGGAAGGGATTTGTAATGTAGAAAGAAAGAAAAAGGGGGGGGGGGGCTGGGTTTGGTCAAATACTGTGGAAGATCTAGCTTATCTCTTTGTACATCATTCATTACATTATATTTAATAAAATTTGCTTTGTTACTGATTGAAAAAAATTTTAAAGGTTCTAGTCGGCATTTGACAATAATGTATGTAGTTTCTCTATTGTTTGGTTGTTTCTTCATCTGAAGGAATTCTGGATTGATGGATTTCTTTTTAGAGGGAGGGGATGGTTCTTGATTATGTAAGATGCTGATACTACCATGTTAAATGCTACATATTAAGAGAACTTTATAGAAGCAAGTTCATAATTATTAAAAATGTCATTGTGTTTAACAAGCTATTGGAGAGGGTATATAACTTAAAAAACTGAAGGTATAGGCATTAGTATATTGGACAAATTACTCGTATCCATGGCCTGGATACTGAGAAGTCAAGGGTCACTCTCATATTGCCTATATCAGTGTTTATATGTGGTTAGTCTTAGTAATAACTAGACACAACTCTTCTAAAACCCTTGCTTAAACTTGACTCAATACTCTGAACTAGAACTTACATGGAACAAAACCCTTTATGGACTTTGTCCATCTGTATATATGAAAACAAATGTAAAATCAAAATAAGTCAAACGATGGACAAAACGTAGGCTCATCAGGCAAGTGCCACACCTCTGAAGTCTTCAGTTAAATGATAAGAGTTTGAACTTGTTTTTAACCAACTCGCAGGATTTATAAAACCAACTCAAAGAATCCCTCTTGGATTTGGCTGATGTTCCAATTTGAATGAAGCTTTAGTTGCTGAAAGTTGAATAGCTAATCCTTTCCTATGTTTGATCTTAATCAAATGCTTGAAAAGCAATCTAGAACTCAGTGAGCAACTCTTTTGCTGTTTTTTTTTTCAAAATTTCAATGTAGAACTCAGGTGCTAGACCTTATTATTTACTGATCTCCTCAATATTAGTAGAATGAATTGCTAGTATTTTGAGATCTTTTGTATCCATCCCTAGGAATTTGAATCAAGGTCAGGAGCAATCTTGATGATCTGACAATTCTATAAGCTGGTTTGCTAGTTGGTTTCTATTGTGGGAGTGGGACTGTAGGGAACTGTAACTACCAGATGATTTTCCTTGAGTTGTTTTCCTATTTTCCCTCTTAATGACAATATTCTGGAAGAAGAAAAATCTAATGATTATTCTATTTGTTTGGTCAGGAATAATTCGGAAGACAAGAACCGTAATGGAATGCCTGCATCGGTTTTGCAGAGAATGCATTGATAAATCAATGCGACTGGGGTATACCATGAAACTACCAAGTTCTGTCTTTATTCAATACAATGGCATGCTGGAATTAAAGTTTCCATTTTCCTTATATGTCTTTATTTGGATTGCATCTTAAAAAGAACTAGTTGTTGACATGGATCTTAGTCTTATGTGGATTGCCACCTGGTCTTTGCTGCAGGAACAATGAGTGTCCTGCTTGCCGCACGCATTGTGCTAGTCGTCGTTCTCTGAGGGATGACCCAAATTATGATGCTCTAATTGCAGCTTTATATCCAGATATTGATAAGTATGAAGAGGAGGTAAAAATTGACTGCAGTATTTATTCTCTGTTGTATTTCTCATTGTATGCCATTCATCTCATGAGAATCCATTCTTTGCTGAACATCTGGTTTCAGGAACTGGCTTTTCACGAAGAGGAGAAGAATCGCAATAAGCAGGTGAGATGGTTACAAAGCAGCTTTACATGTTTGCGCACGCTTAACTATTATTACATATGTATGTATACATGTATGTCTTTATGTGCATCTCCATTGTGAATGAAGAGCACTGTTTCTTGAAATATGAATTCTGTATTTCTTAACTTCCCAAATTGTGCAAGACAATGTCCAAAAAAAGCTGTACAGACCATCTTACCATCTGATAAGTCAATGCGTTTGATGCAAAAGATGCCATTCTTGGATTGGTGGGTAAATTAATTGGACATCAGGATGAGTGAACCAAAGAATATTATTGCAAATCTGATATTAAAAATTCTATTTCTAGTAGTAATAGTTTTACCTTTATAGTGATGAAATTTAGCTTCTCTTAGGATCTTCTACAATCATGGAATATGTACATGCATAGTTGGGCCATCCCTCATAGTAAATCAACAACATGCTAAAAATAGTACGTTTGCAACTTGTTTTTCTTTTTGTAAGATTGATGTTTTATTTATTTTTGATGGATGGACTGATGGTTAATTGAAGGATCAATCTCCCCTCCAGAAATGCACCCTGAGAATAAGAGATGACATTATTCATTACTTTCTTCATCCACAGAGCCAACACCTTTGACAGAATCTTTTAAGCACTGCCAATTAAGCTTATTGTCCAGTAGTCTTTTATGTTCATTGCCCCTCCTTTTTGAGATACGAGGGGTATAAATGTTGAGTTCAAGCTTCTTTCTAAGGATGCATTTTCATGGAACTCCATTAATACCTTCATTAAGTCCTCCTTTAGGAAATGCCAACATCTCTTAAAGAACAACATAGTGAATCTGTCAGGACTTGGTGCTTTGTCTCCACAATACCATCTATAGCCCAATTTGCTTCTTAGGAAATGTTGTTTTGAGTCCCATTGCTTGCTGATCATAGATACAACCAAAATTCAGCCCATCCAGATGTGTTGTCACCTTCCGTTTTTCTTTGTACAGATCTATATAGTAGTTGGAAATCTCCACCCTCAACCTATCCTCCACCATTCTTTCATTTATCTCTAACCTTTTAATGGTGTTCTCCCTTATTCTAGCATCTGCAAATTTATGAAAGGGCAGCCCTGTGCACGAGGCTCCTGCCAACGTGGGATCTGGGGAGGGATAGATGTATGCAGCCATACCCCTGTAGATACACAGAGAGGCTGTTTCCAAGATTTATGAAAGAATATTGTTTTATTATCACCTTCTTTCATCCATTGTACCCGAGCCCTTTGTCTCCACTTGATTTCCTCTTGATCTCCCAATTTATTATACTTCCATATGTTCTCCCTGTGAACATCTATCTCTTCCCTCAATAATTGACCTCTTTAATTTGCTTGATCCATCTCCTTTATTGTTCCCAGATCCAGACATTCAGTCATTCTATTCTCGATGTTTCTGAAGTTCTCTTTCTTCCATCTCTTAATTTCCTGCTTTAGTGCTTATCTTTGTTAAATTTGCTTATTATTGCTTATCTTTGTTGTATTGAGGTTATGTTGTGAAAAGCCTTCATGTACCTATAGCCTATAGGCCTGCTGCCATTTGTTGTGCGCGGCATGATGTTTTTTTTTTTTTTTTTTTTTCTCTTCAATGATATGCATATATCATTACATTATATCAATCCCTCAATTGAAAAGTTCCTATACAACGATTTTTATTTTTGACCTTGGAAAATGACAATTTCAGTTCTCTGCCTAAGAACATACATGACCTTAAATTGGAAAACCTTTTCTCATGCACATATGCACATCCTCAGGCACAAAATGCATGTATGCTTACGTATTTGTTATATTCCCTATCATAATAGAGAAGATGCTCATTATTTTTGGAGGGATACCTTTGAGCACAGAAACGAGTAAACTATATTCTGCGTTTCTTGGACAGATCCAAGCATCTATTGCCCAAACTTTTCGAAGGCAATCAGAAGCACTTGGCAGGAGACGCACCACAGCTAAAGCCACTGCAGTTGCATTTGCAAGGAGATCTCAGGGGAACTATAGAAATTTAAGAGGGAGAAGAAGCTCCCGTGGCCCTGAAATTCAAGGATCTGATGATGATGATGATGCAAATGGTGATGGAGGAAAAGATTCATCTTCTTCTGATGAGCGGTTAAAGCCAAAAAGGTGCAGGAGATGGGGAGGACCTCGGTTCTCTCAGCCTTCTTCAGCAGCTGCCAATGCAGATGGAGTTGATGAAAATGATGATTTAGAAGTGAGCAGAGAAAGCACAGGTGCATCTCCTGGCCGTGTTGGGAATCCTGAAGTGCTAGCTTGGGGTAAGGGTGGTGTACGAAGCCACACGAGATATGGCAGTATAAGTGGTAGCAATGGTAAGAATGCCAGAAGCCGCCTATCTAGATTGGTAGATTACCTGCGAAATTTGGATGAAAATGGAGATGAGGTAGGTATAAGAGGAAACTGTTTGGTTATATGCCTTTTGGGTTCTCACCTTACACTTCACACTGGCATGATTACTCACAAATCACAATTGTGGTTTCTTTATTCAGTTGGATGTACATCTCATGCTTTTTCCTTTAGACAAACAAAGTACACCAATTTTGCAGCGTCCTTACCTTTGCTGCAGGCCAACACTGTCAGTTAGACACCTATGCCAAGTAAATACCTCCACCATCTTCATTGTAATTTCATTTTGTTTTCTAAATTTACTGAGATTTTATCCTACTTAACTCAACAATGGTGCTGGTAATGCATGTCTGTACACAGTATGTTGCTCTCCAGACTCCAATGCATGCAGAGGAAGTTGAAATACTGGTGGTAAAAGAACCCTGCTATAAAACTGCCGATGAATGTGGGTCCATGCTCGAACCTTCGACTTCGAAGGATCATTCAATTCCCAAGTTCCTGGTTGATCCTTGCAAAGATGAACTGCAAATATTGGAAGAACAGGAAACTCTGGCAGGGATTCAGGCTAACTGTACCACTAGTCAGGGCCATCTGGTGAGTTCTTGTAGGGTTAGCTATCCAAATGCTGTAGCATATTTTACACTTATCAATCCCTTCCGCTTTGCTATATTGTCAGGTTCTGGTGTATCGGCAGAAGGTGTCAAGTTAGATAGGTTTCATGCTGAGCTTTCCATCTTTTTGCATGGAGTTGAGGCCATCACATTCTGTGTTTTGGAAGGTAGGTGTATATAAATACTCATACCCAGAGATCTGGAGCAATCTGGTTCTCAACGAGGATTGTTCTCATACTTGAAAATTGTTTTGTGGAGTTATTGAGAGTGAAGAGCGGTTTGAGTGGGTCTGGAAGAATACAAAGAGTAACAGTTTAGCTAGCGGAAAGGCATTTCCTCCATTTCCATGTTATACTCTTGGCTTCCTCTCTGTTAATGATTCCTCTAGTGCTTTTTAAGTTAACTTTTGTACCCATCTTTGTTTTCTCTTCCGTGGCCACTTTTAGTAACAGTAGAAATATTGGTAAAGATGAATACGTTCTGATTGTTTGTTTGGCAAGGAGATTTCCTGCTTGAATGTTGAAACCTTGGACATCAATTGATGCTGGGATATATCCACGACTAACCTTCTCATCGGTTGCAACTAAGATCAATCCAAATTCCAAAATCCCAATGCACCAAGTTCAAAGTATCGACCCATATCGGCAGATACGTATCATGCCGGTGGCTTCCCGATACACCTCTACAGGGGTTGTATCGGGTCAGCCACTAGTTCAGAGGGTAGTCGGGCCTTAAACCGGCTCCTCTGAACTGATTTTGAAATAAAAAAAGTAAAACATAAAAAAAGCACTGACACAGGCCGATATACCGGCCCGTGTTGATGTTTAGAACCTTGGCACCAAGAGCTCAAGAATAGTTTTTGGTTGGCTGGTCTTAGTGGGAGCCTCTTTTGAGGTTCACTATTGTTTGACAACTCTGATACTTCCTGGTAGGGGTGGCAATGCGCCGAGCTTTTTACGAGTTGTTTGAGCTCGAGCCCAATTCAGTGGCTCAATTAATAAACAAGTCGAGCTTGAGCCTAGTAGAGCTCGACTCGTGAGGCTCTCGAGCTGGCTCGAATATATATAATATTATATATAATAAAATTATAGAAAATAATATATATATATATATATATATAATAAAAGTATTATAATTATTATTGATTATAATTCTTAATATTTAAAATATTTATAGAATATATGATAAATATTTTTATAAAATATAAAACGAGCCGAGCTGAGCCCGAGCTTATAAACTTTTGACTCAAGCCGAGCTCGAGATCAAGGTTCTGGCTCGAACCGAGCTCGAGCTTGAGCTTGAGCCTGGTACTATTCGGCTCGGCTTGGCTTGAATCCACCCCTACTAGGGTTGTTCATGGGTTGGGTTGGATCGGTTTAGTAGTATTTTTTCAATCGACCCGACCTGGTCGGGTTACTTATAGACCAAACCGAAACCAACCCTCTATTAAGTAAAACCGACCTGGTCGGTTTGGGTTTTAATCAACTCCAAGCTTGCACAATGCACATGAAGTCAAAGTGCTAATATTATATATAATATTTCAGAATATATTTTATGGAAATATATATTTAAAACCAAAACATATATACAAATATATCGAAATATATATTTTCTAATTTCTGGAAATATATATTTCAGAATATCTGATATATTTCAGAATATACATTTTTTCAGATATATATTTATTATTTAAAACTAAAACATCTATATTTAACAGATATTTTTTCAGAATATATATTTTTTCACATAATTTGGTTTGGTTCGATTCGGTTTGATTTTGGTTCAAATACGAGAAAACCGAAACTGAACCGAATTATCGGTTTGTTCATCTTTGCAACCTGAAACCGACCAGTAGTGAAGAAAAACCGGCCAACTTGGGTTGGGTTGGGTTGGGCCGGGTTGATCAGTTTAGTAGATTTGGATTTATTTGTGAACAGCCCTAACCCCTACTTCCTGGTTCTTATCGTTTTGGACTGAAACTCCACTTTGTACTCCTCCCAAAGGACCCAAACTAAGCCTTAACAGTTTTTCTGGAGTGCGATTGGACTTTAAATTTTTGCTTAGATTGAGCCTCCCATTAACCGGGTAGGGACTTTGGGGTGCAAGTCGGTCGGTCGGGCTGGGTCAGGTTTGAGTTCAACCCAGGCCAAACCCCAAGAATTGGCCCTGAGGCCCGATTAGTCAATCGGGTCGGGCTTAGTTTGGGGTATGGTTGGGCTGGATTTGTGCTAACTACAGGTAAAGGCCCGAGTTCAGCCTGAAAAATGAAAGTTTGAACTTTAGGGCCCAGGCCGAGGAATAAAAATACAAGCCCAGGCAACCTTGGGCTTCGCATAAAGAAACTGGCAGAGGGACCTTAGGAAAGTCAGAAATTTCTGAAGGGCTCATCACTCTAAACCTTCCGGCTTCCACACACTATATGAAGCAAACAAGAGAAAAGTGACTTGAGTTATAACCCGTCGGGACGATCAAGAACATAGAAAGAGAAGACCTCTTCCATCAAGCAACCCAACAAATTTTAACGTATCTCAATTCTCAATACCTCCCCCAATCCCCAACACGTTGTATGTTCTTGTAGTGTTTGTAATTCAAACTCATCATTACTATGTAGTGTTTGTATATTAATTTCTTGTTCATTCATCTTTTGATCTTCAAACCTGTGAAGATGTGAATGAAGGAAACCTGGTAATTCCTCATTCCGGTAGAAGTAGAACTAAGGGTGTCAATGGACCAGTTTTAGATTGGACCCCGTCCAGTCCAAAATTAATTTATTCAGATTGGATGGACCAACAAGACATATTGGATTGAACCAATCCGGTACAAAATATTTGTTAGATTAGATTGGACCTGGTCTGTCCGTAAGAAATTTATATTGTGTCAATGAACCGGGTTTGGATTAAAATCAATCAAAATCAAAATGAATTTGAATAGATTAAACGGTCCAGTGGACTGATCCAAATTGGTCCAAAACATTCATTGGATTGGATTTGGACTGATCCAAATTGGTCCAAAACATTCATTCATTGGATTGGACCTGGTCCATTTATAATGGACTCACATAGGACTAGATCGGATTGGACCAAATCCAGTCCAATTGACACCCCTAGGTAGAACCTCATTGGGAAATGATTTTATTTCAAGCTTTGTTTTGGATTGATTTTTTTAATTTTATTTTTTAATTAAAATTTTTATTTTCCTAATGTTCCAGGGGACTTTCTGAATGTATTATATTTGGTTTAATATCAATTTAAAGTCTTGTTGCCTATGATTGCCTTCCGTTTTTACCCTCGTGGTTCGTGGGCCTCATTTATCATTTGCACTGGTGCAAATTATGCGAGTGCAGTGCAAATGAATTGACAATTTAGTTATGCTTGCTTGCAATGCTTTGGTTTTTTTTTTGGCATTTGCAATGCAAATCAAGTAAAATAAGCCCTGAAGCAAAATGAAACTCAGAGCATGAGCGAATCAGAATTTGCACTTCCATACAAAATAAACGATCATACTATGTGCAATGCAATGGAGTCGCTCTTAGGGGATGTTTTGTACAGTTGTGTTGTATTGCCATGGGATTAATTAATACAAATTTGTGACAAATATGAATGTCATTTCAACTAAAAAAATGTGTGATAAACATCAAATTTGACGTTTTAGGTGATCTAACTCAACATTTTTAAAACATTAAGAGTACAAAGTCTCACACAAATTTGTATTAATCAACCAAAAACGCAAATATCAAAGCAATGCCGCTATTTCAATCACATCCATATGTTTTCATCCATCAATGGAGGCCCATAAGCCCATTTAAATTTTGAATGATGACTCAAACAGCTCCAATAAATCAGATTATACTAATCTTGTTATCAAATATTAATCACACCCCCCTTTTTTTGTTTATAATAAAGAAACCGGTTCACATGCATTAAGTGGGGCCCATTCGAGCCCATGGGTTCCTTTTCGGTTTGGAAGGTTAGCTCAAACCAAAGCCCCGAACCCGAATCACTTCTGTTTTGTGACAGGGTCCGAGTTGATGGTGCTCATGTTGTATATCCATCCACCCATCCATCTGTACAACAGGAATAATACGAGGACCATCATGGGCCTTAGATGGGCCAAGGCCTTGGACTCAAGTCTTCACCATATGATTAGACGAGAAAGAAAAGTCGGTGGATCAGGCGGCAAGCTCCGACTGATCTAAAGAAACAAAGTCATGGGAATAAAAGTAGACATTTCTCTTTCATTTAGTATTAAGTATTCTACTACAGAGTACAGAGTCCTCTTAACATACATAATCATCGCTTAGTTAGAGATAAGATCCAGTGCTTAATTAACATAAAACCAGGAGTAGGACTAGTTCAGGCTGGCGTCCAAAATATTTACATGCACGGTGCACGGGTGCATCCTCTTGTTCTTGGATTGGAGGTGGCCCCCAGGCCCACCCATGACCCATCAACGATGCTTGCTTCGGGTATCACCGCTGTAGAGCCTACACAATAAGTGACAAAGCAACAACAACCCATATTATCGAAGTAAGACAGACGACCCAAGCCGTTGAAATATGAAATCCTGCTAAGCTTACCAGATCCAACGGCTAGGAAGAAGGATCTAGATCTACTACTACTACTGGGAGTTGCACGCATGCATGGTAACAGACGTACGTACGTACCAGTCATAAACGGTGGGGGAGTTGGGCTGGGGCTTGTCGAACATCTCAGTGCCGAGGCTTTTGGTGGCCAGGTTGCTCCCGGGGTTGAACACACTCCTCCACACGTTGTCCTTCCGAGATGTCGACGGTGTGCTCGGAGTCACAGGGGTGCTCGGCGTTGCTGGGCTTGCCGGCATCGACAGTGATCTCTGGTACTTGCTTCCTTCTCCTTCCGCATCTACCAAACACACCACCAAACTCTTCACCCTTAAGAGTTCAGACGACAACAACAACAACAAAGAAGAGGAAGAAGAAGAGTACCTTTGAGGTTCAAGGGCCTAGTAGTGAGCTTCCTGAGCTTGCCAAGGCCATTGTCAGGTTGAGGCCCGGCGACCACATCATCCCAGAGCTTCTCTAGCAGAACCATGGCGATCCTTCTTCTTCTTCTATCTCTGAGCGCTTCTCTGATGATCTCTCCGCTTTGCCTCACTAAGGTTATATATATAGGAGTGGAGAGGGATGTGTGTGTGGGGGGGGCGGGGTTCAAAAGAGCTAAATTTAAGTTTCTCCTAAAGAATCTGTCTGAGGTTTTACCGTTTCTTTATTCCCACTCCAACAAACTGAAAATAGGAAAATGGGTGAAGAGGTGGAGGATAAGGATGAAGACTCGTCCTCCCCTAATAATATCTACTGGTTCAGATGGGTAGAAGATTAAGGGTCGCTTCCCAAGAGTCACTCTCCAATGTCCACGTCCTCCTTCCTTTTTCCACTCTTTTGGGGCCCACACTCGTGACTGAATGGACACGTGAGCCTTACCCTTCTAGGAGTTAATTGGGTTCTGTAATCCTAGAGAAAATGCAAAGAATTAATTACAGTGCCGACTGACTGTAGATATATATATGTACACCATGTGAACGAACTTACTTGTCCTTCTCAAGGGAGAAAAAGACAAGGCAATGGCATCTGAAAGTTCTGGATAGGGCGAAGGAATATGGGATCTACCCACTCACCAAGGTTAAAAAGAAAAAGGAAACCTCTTTTGTTCTTTACTTTTCCTTTTTAAACTTTGATTTAGAAAATTGGATTTAATGGGAAATGATCAGATGGTTAAAGAGGGGAATAGACATCTGGCGATGTAGAGGGAATCACCAATTTGATGTAGAGTCTATGAATTTGATTAGATCTATCTCCACTGGGTTTGGAGAACAAAGGTAGCCTTTTGGCATTTCCTATCTCCTTTTTCTGGTTGTGGTTAGACCTGGCAAAAAGTTGATTTAACCTGTGAACCCGATTCAATCCAATCTGAAAGAATAGGGTCAAGGTCTCATATTTAGCTATCCGAATGTGAAAACGGTCTAATTAGGATTATTAATGTATTGTTAGAAGTTTTTACTCTTTAATTTTTTATTTAGTCTTTACTTTTTATTGTTTATCTTTTAAATTGTTAAATGTTCAAGTTTTTTTATTTTATAATTAAAATTTTAAGGTTAATTCTTTTAGTTTTGACATTTTTCATATAATTTTTCTTTATTTTTTTAAAATTTAATTATTTTTTGGGATGACCCGAATTAACCCATAAGTCAACTCTAACCCGAACAGTTAGGGTTAAAATCTAGCATTTGACAACCCAACTCAAAATTCAACCCGAGGCACCTTGTCCCAACCCGAAGTAACTTGACACACCCAACCCAATTGTCAGGTCTAGTGTGGTGTTTGTGTTTGGATGGAAGTTGCAGCACTTTCTAACACAGGGATGGACTAACACCCATATAATCATATCTCACCAATTGTTTTGGTCTTTTCTCCCCTCTTGCAGCGAGTTTTAGAGGACATGGTATGGAAATTTCAAAGACAATTCCACTTGATGGGAGACCTTATGGATTAGCTGCATCTATACTGGTTTTTGTCTATTTTGGCCCATAAATGGATTGTATGTCTCACTTTTTTTTAAACATTAATAGATAATGTTTTTATTCAATTAGAAAAATAAATAAAAGAACTTTAAAATCCTAAAAAGTCTAACTTTGGAGGTTTAAAATCCACTAATTTCCAAATACCACTCCAACCAACTCAGAGTGGGCACGAATTGAGTTTTTGATAAATTATTTGAGCTTGACTTGTAAAAAGTTTGATTAATTTGAATTGATTTAAACCGTGTTTCAAGTCGAGTTTTTTTTTTAAGCATAATTAGTATGTAGATTTATTTACTAATTAAGTAGAGTTTAAGTTTAATAACACTCAACTTGTGAAGCTCATAAATCTAGTCAAGTTTATATTATATATAATATTTATATTTTTTCATATATTTTAATTTTTTTAAAGCTTGGCTCACTATTAAACTTGAACTGAATTTTTTTTTTTTTTTTTTTATCAAGCTGAATTCGAATAGCCAATTATTCAGTCTGGCATGTGCTTGAATCCATCTCTATCCAAATAGGGAATTTGGAAAGTTGCGTTATTTTTTCTTCGGGGTTAACTACAGGAAAATGGGGCTATAGCTACGACACTTTAGCTACGGTAAAAAAAACCATAGTTAAAACATGGGATATAACCACGGACAATCTGATGTCCATGGCAAAAAGTTGAGTTTTAGCTACAAACAATTTATGCGTGGTTAAAAGTTATTTTGCCCGTGGCTAAAAGATATTTATAACTACGGTTATAATGTATCCGTGGCTATAAGTTACAAAAGTAAAAGTTATTTTGGTTAGGGACAATTTGTCCGTGGTTAAAAGTTGAGTTTTAGCTACGAACAATCTGTCCGTGGTTAAAAGTTATTCTGTCTGTGGCTAAAAATATTTATAGCCACGGTTATAATGTATCTGTGGCAATAAGTTACAAAAGCAGAAGTTGAGCTTTAGCTACGGAAAAATTGTCCGTGGTTAAAAGTTACTCTGTCCGTGGCTAAAAGATATTTATAGCCACGGTTATAATGCATCTGTTACAAAATCAGAAGTTGAGCTTTAGCTAGGACAATTTGTTCGTGGTTAAAAGTTATTCTATCCGTGGCTAAAGAGCTATTTATCACTATAGCTACGGATAATCATAATTCATTTAGAATATTTATTATTAATTAATTACTTTTTTATAGTAAATTAATAATTAAGAATTTATTAAAGTAAATGAATATAATTAATAGTTAACAAATTATTAGCTCATTACTATTGCATAACAATAATAATTAATGATTTTATTTTAATAATAATTAAACTAGAAAATAAATTGCTAATAATTTCATAAGTACATTAATAAAAATAAAGTAATTTCTAAAATAGAAATAAATAAGTATTAATTATTATTTGATTAATTAAAACTAATCATAAAAAAATAATTTAATTAATTAAGTAAATTAATAATTAATAGAAAATAATAAAATAAATATGAAAACCACTAATAGTAAATTAATTAATTACCAATGAATGAAAATAATATTGATAGTTAAACTAAATTATTTAATTTCATAAATAAATTATTAATAAAGTAATAATTATACAATATAGATAAATATTTATTAATTATTATTTTATTAATTAAATAATAACTAATAATTTGTTTAATAAATTATTTCAACCACTTTACCAATTTTTTGCCTCAAAGTGTAATTTTTTAAATTTTTTTACTTGTGATTGATGAGAAACTAAAATAAAATATAAATAAATAAATCTATATATATATATACTCTACATATTTCAAAACAACATTGTTTATTCTATATATAATAAAACATATAACTCTAACCAATGTTTAAACCATGACCTAACCCTTAACAAATTCGACAATACACCTAACTTTATTTACTCAAAAAAAAAAAGCCAAAACCATCCACCAAACTGGTCTAACCCAAGAACTAATGATTCGGTCTTGGGTAACTTTTTTGCTACCTATGTGTTTTTAAGTACTGAAGGCAACTTATGCTATTTTTGCCATAAACAAGGGTAATCATTTTAGTGAGTTGAAAAATTTCGCTCTTGGACCTAGATTTTGTGTTTAAGCCCTGGCTGAGGCTCGGGCCCTCATTAGAGCCCCAAATTTTAGGGTTGGGCATAGGCCTAATACTTTAAACCCGCCTTGGGCTTAACTTGACCCATATATATTTAACTATATGTATGTTATAGATAATATATATGTTATTTTATATTAGATAGAAATAGGACATTTAATGAGTCAGATTCGACTCGACAAACCCAATGTTCATGAACTAATTAGGTTGGTTATGGTTATCGGAATCGAAACTGATGAGTTGACTCATCTGGTTCCAGATATAGTCCCAATTATTATCGGAACCCAATGTTCTAAGAAACAATTCCCAAGAATTAGTTTCCACTTAAGTTAATAAATACCTGTATCACCTGCTTGCAACTGCATTGGCTGAATACAAGGTGTAACCCCTTCTAAAACATACATCCTACTGTTATTATTTGACCAGAAACTGAATTGGAATACCCACTTCTTGCCTTTTGCATCCTGGACTTTTAAAGGCAACCCTTTAGGTTGAGAAATTGCAAGGAAGTAAGCTTGTTTCATAGGAAGTGTATATACCACATTGATGGAGGCCCATCACAAGGCCCATCTCACCCCTAGGGGCGGCAGCTCCTAGGATAAGGTTAAGATAAGAAGAACTTCCAAGATTATCAAGATAAAGCAAGACTCTTCCAAGATTATCAAGATAAAGCAAGACTCTTCCAAKATTATCAAGAAATCAAGATCAGAATTCCAACAAGACTCCAAGAAGCATCAAGATTAGCAAGATAATCCAAGATTCATGCATCAAGGGAGATCGAACGGTGAAAATCAAACCAAGAAGAGTTCGTTCCTATCCGGTTAGATATTTGGATCTATCCTAGTTGTTATTTCCTAGTTCTTTTACAATTTCCAAATGTATTATAAATACTGTTATTTTTCGAGAATTATTCATCAATTCATACTTCATATTTTTATAATTTCTTCAAGTTCTCTTCTTTGAGTTTTCACCACCTTTTCTCTCTCCTAGAGAAATCGGTGTTATTCGCTAGGAATTAGCGAACGTCCGGTGCTTGCATAGCCAGCTCCGGTGTCCATTGCTTCCACGCTGCGTCAGGTGGTATCAGAGCAGGGAATTCGCCCAGTCAGATGGCCAACCAGACGGTAGCAGTCGCAACCCACCCTGTGACGGAGATCAGGGGTTTCCAGCTGTTTGGAGAGCAATCGAAGAACAACGCACGGCCATACGTAACATCGAGTAACAGTTGGCAGAGATGGCTGAACAACTGCGAACCTTGTTACGGGAGGTTGCTCCACGGAACCGGGAACATCCACAACAAATCGAGGGAGACGACCACGATAGACCACCCGTCCATACTACGTTCCGACGACCAGTCCTAGATGACGACAGTGATGATGATTTAGAATTTGGTGGTGCTCCAGTTCTTCCCGGCAATGACAGAAACGACAGAAATTGGCATAACCAAGGTAATTTCAATCCCCGTAGGAATAATGATGAATTCAAACTTAAAGTAGATATTCCTACCTTTATTGGAGATCTTGGCATCAAAGGACTTCTGGATTGGATCACAAAAGTCGACAGATTCTTTGATTACATGGAGATACCAGAGGAACGAAGGGTAAAATTGGTA